ATTTCTAATCTTGGGAATTGACTTTCAAAATTGCGCAATATTCAGTTATTTGTAAGACCATTATTGAAAACGTTTAAATTTTGTTGTGTTAACAAGGGGGATTGGTATGGTGCAGAAAAGCTTCAAACTTCTGTACTCCTCTTTTGATAGAGAAAATATCTTATGAATCAACTTCAGAGTTCTTGTGATGTTTCATATATGTATTGAATTTCGTTCTTGATTTCGTATCTGCTGTATAAAGTTGAGAAAACTCTGCACCTTTACAACTTCGATGACATGCCTCTTTCTGACAGTACATGTGTGGATTCTGAGAAGTGGCTCGAAGAGCAGTACTGTCAAATTGTCTGTAGCAATATTTACTCGGGCAAAGGCTGTGACAACGAGCTACATTGAGCTGTGTGATCATGTTCAGCTAAAGTGCATCATCTCAGCTATAAATAGGTGGGTTGGCAGACAGACTCATCACATCCAAAATGTTCTACGTACTCACACTACTGGCTTTCCACTTAGCGAATACCAACGTTCGAGGAGGTGAGTACTGCCAACGCTATGCCATCTCGACCATCTTTTCGTTACGTCACTCGATGATAACGGGGAAAAATGCACAGCGTTTTTTCCAGCGTCACACGAATTGCTGCCAGCAAACATGAAGAGCACATTCGAAGCTTTTCATCATAAACTCGATGCAGATCTGGTCAGTTTCTTTACAGGCTCAACCCTAAAATAACAGACCCCTCGATGCGATTTCACAGCAAGTTTCTTATGCACTGTAAATGATACACAGGTCTGGAAAAAAGGGCTGGCGGAAAAGGCGTTCGAATCTATCACCAACACAACCGAAACAGGATCGACTGGTGCTCAAAGGATCAGCGTTCGTATCAGAATTCTTGCAGTAATTTCCACTCGTTTCATAAGAGCGTTTGCTTTAGCAGATTCAACAACAGCTCTGGTGATAACCTGGACGGTAAGGTACGAAAAGTCCTTGAAGTCATTTTCAAGAAGGGACAACAATACAGAAAAAGTGAGTTGGACTTATTAAAAGCTATTACGTAATAACAGACCCTGTATATATGCATGTATGTATGAGATTTGAAGTGTTAGGTCGCAACAAATTGAGAAAAGACCCTAAAGGATTTTCCTTCCTGAAAGCACTTGGCCAGAGATACGGTTGATTGGTTGCTTGAGAATTGTTATGATAATCGACGAGGCTGAATAAGTTATCCTGCTCAACGTTGCGGTTTCACCGTCCTTCAAGTCGCAGACGTCCATCTGTTAACGGCACCCTTGTTCGCAAACATTTCGAGTTCTTCCCAGTTGTTCTGGGACCTTACAGTAACGCCTTGGGGCTTTTGGGAGTGTCCGCCATTCATTTTGACCGCGACAGCTTCATGATAGCACGCCTCTTCACGAAGCGATGTTGCAGTAAACAAGCGTTCACGAAAAAATCCGAAAAATTGACATCTCTTCCTTTTAAATTCTT